CATGTGTGCCACTTTATGGCAACCTGTGAGTTTTCCTTTTTCTAGTTTCATTTATTCAAATTGTTTTATCTCTTAAACTATGCGTCCAAACCTCGAACTGTTTTCATCGTTGGATTTCTCGCGTCGAGATCTTCAAAACTAGATCCTATATTGATAGGTTTTGAAGATTTTTTCATGAAAAAACCGGACGAAAAACCAAACCAAGAGCACTTTTTTTTCTTTCCCAAAGAGTCATGACTGTGCCTCTCGTGAAAGCAAATCCATGCCTCCACAAGAAGTAAACCCGTACCTCTCGCGGCAGGAAAGCAAACAGTTTTTTTGTTTCTGAGCCCGAAGCAAATCCGTACCTCCAGGAGAAGTAAATCCGTACCTCTCGCGGAAGGAAAAAAAAGAAAACATGTTTTTCTTTTCTTCCCAAGACGCATAGCCGTGCCTCTCCCGGGAGAAAAAAACACATTTTTTTGTTCGTTTCTAGGAGGCATGGTCCTGCCTCTCGCGAAAGTAAAAAAAGAACGGGTTTTTCCAGTTTCCCAGAGGCACGATTCGCGGAAGTAAAAAATGTGTTTTTTTCGTTTCCGAGAGGCACGACCATTCCTCTCGCGGAAGAAAAAATGCATTTTTTTCGCGCAATTTAGGAAAAACATTGTGTCCAATAGCTAAGAAAGACGGGTAAAAAACCATAAAGCCGACAAAAAAACCATCTTAGAAGCTGAAAACGCGTGCGAAAAAATAAAAAAAAAATCAGGAGGAGCGCACATAGCGCGACATGCGGTGGTGGATAGCGCGCTCTCACACCACCCACGTGACCCTTGCGAGGGCTCTCGAAGAAGTATTCCTTCGTTTTTTGCTCCCCTTATTGTATCATAAATTCATAACTTAGCAGTTTGTGACCCCGCAAAAAGAAAAGGGAAATGTTTACAAATGGCGTGCCGGCCGAACCGTTCCGTCGGACTCCTCGGCACCCACCGCTGCTCGCGGGCCCATGCGGCAACTCGTCCTGGCCACAAGCGCCACCTGACTGGGGGTCCACACAACCTTCATCTCCCCACATGCGTCATTTCTTCTGCCGCACCACAACCCCTTCTTCTCCCTTGCTTCTTCACCATCGGCGGCGAGGTCTCGACCATGGCGCATCCCACTGCAACTCCGACGCTAGTGTTTTTTTGAAAGCAGGATTGTGGGGGGACATGGTGACGCTCTGGGAAGCTGGATGTTTCCATCGGCGACATGGAAACAAAGACCAGTGCTAAAAACGACTATGGTGGAGAAGGTACAACGACAGCTATGGCGGAGCTAGCACCGACGACTTTTGCTGGAACCAAGACTATGGATGCTACAACCGGCTATGGCGGAGCTACCACCGCCGAATTTTTTTGCCACAACCATTTTACGAATTAGCTGCGACTTGGGTCGGCAGCGACGGTGATTTGCTGCAACCGTAATCGTTTTTTGCTACTACCGGCGACGTGTTGTGCTACATGTTGCAACTTCACGACGGCGGCGACGACGATTTTTGCTGCAACCGTAATTGGTTGTTGCTACTGCCGGCGAACTTTTTTGCTACATCCATCAAGGCGAAGCTACGACCTCGCGACGGCGGCGACGGTGAATTGCTACAACCGTAGTCGGGCTTTGCTGCGATCAGTGAAGTTTTTTCCTACATCCATTTCAATGGCGTGATTAGCTGGTGGGAGTCGTCGACACAATTCTGTTCAGCGAGCATCAACAACGAGGGGCGGCGGCGGAGCTACAACCAGAGCTGCTAAGAGCTGCAACCGCATGTGCTGCTGTTGCATGGGTCGAGGCAGCGACGAGGACGGCCGGCGAGGGTGGGGACCAACGACGAGGATGGCCGGCGAGGGTGGGGACCGGCGACGAGGAAGGCTACCGGAGGGGAGATAAGGCATCCGAGGGAAGCTGGGCAAGACGGCGAAGATGTGGGTTACCTGCGCAAGCGCGAGATGCGCGAGGAGGAAGAAGATCTGAGATGAATCGTTTTTTTCCTCTAGATCAAACGGCCAAAACAAGTGGCATTCTGCGGCTAGCGCGTGGCCGGTGCGCCGGCGCAAATCACTCGCCAAACGAAAAAGGAAGTTTGTGCACTCTGGTTTTAGTGTCCGTCATATTGAGTGGATCATAATTTTGGAATTGGATGCTGGTCTGATAGCTAGTATCGAAATAGTACTTGTGAAACAATATATTGGGTAGTGGCTAGGGAGGTTTTTTAACCAACATGGATGGAACATAATTTCCGGATCGGTCCATCTCCTTTGTCGACATTGGCATAGTTTTGGACTCATATGGTTTTACTATTGCCAACTTGTCGTTTTTTTATATATACTTTGCTAGACTTTTCGTAGCGGTGTGCATCTTAACTATGCATAAGCCGGGTGTCGCTCATTATGCTTTGTATACCCTTAATGCTACATTATGAATTAATAAAAACGTCCTTTATCGAAAATATTGGCAGTGGCGGTCGTAGACAAATATCCGGGTAGACAAATATCCGTAGCCCAATCTCCAGCCCGCCAACGTGTGGTGTTCGCCGCGCCCAAATCCAATCAAAATCTTTGCTTCACCCCACCACAAAAATCTTACTCCCAAATCACGCCCGCGGTCTTACCCTCCTCCTAGGCAGAACAGAGGCAGTGATTCCACGGGCCATCACCTACTGCCTACCATGGCCGCCACCTGCCGCCTCGCCGCGCCACTGGGTCTCGCCCCGCTGCCTCGCAGGTGCGCCGGCGTCAAGAGCGTCGCTCTCTCGATAGGCACCACCAAGATAGCTACACGGACACGGAGCGTCGCGGTGAGGGCGGGCGACGGCCCGGCGGAGACGCCGGAAATCCTCAAGGCTGCGCAGGACGCGGTCAGAGTACCTTTTGCTTGCTTGCACAAACACTACACGGTACACGGGAATGTGCATCGTCGTGACTGATTAGAAGTGTTGCTTCTAGGCAGTGGGCAAAAGTTGAGGACAAGTACGCCGTGGCCACCATCGGCGTCGCCGGGCTCGTCGCGCTCTGGACAGCAGTGGGGGCGCTCAAGGTACAAACGGGGCAACTGCCATGATAACAATTTGTTTCTTCTCCTCCCTCAGATATGTAACATAGCTCCTCATTTTCTGTTCGCTTGTGCATTTTAGTCCATTGACAAGCTTCCTATCTTGCCTGGTGTGTTGGAGCTCGTTGGAATCGGGTACACAGGAGTAAGTTCATCAAGCATCTGTCCACGTACCTTTTGTCTTTCTGAGAAAGACCATGTATATGTTGTTCGGTTATTATCTTCTCTAACATCACCCAAATGCTGCTACTTCGTGTTCATACAGTGGTTCACATATCGCAACCTCATCTTTCAGCCAGACAGGTGAGTTCATCCTGTTCATGTGATATTCCTTTTTTTTTTTCCTATCATACCCATCGCTCTCAGCAGAGGGAACAATGGAGAACATCTCTTATTAAGTTTACATCGATATGTTACATTGTGAAACAATATTAGAGCATTATGTGTCATATATAACTGAAATCGAGTAGGAGATATTTTCGAACAATAAAATGTCGTAAGAGCTTGGAGGACCTATGTTACCAGATATTAACTGTTAGAAGGTGTTAGAAGTGAGAGAGAGGATTGGTGGAATAGTTTGTTGTATTGCTTGAGCCTCATGGGCATATATATAGGAGTACATGATCTACTTGGAGTACAAGGCAAGCAAGAATATTCCTAGTTTAACCTATGTTTCCTAATACAATCACGTTACTCAACATCCCCCTGCAGTCACAACGGTAGCGACGCAGACGGTGAGACTGGAAAAGAATCCGAAGGCAAGCCGGTGGACAGCCCCCCCCACAATCGTAACGGTCGACCCATCCCGGAGTCGTGGCTGGAGTGTCAACCGACGAGGTTGCTCAAGCAAGACGGTAGCCCTTTGTGTCGTTGTCGAGGTAGCCGAGAGCGTAAGGTGGTGTAGCCGTGCGAAGAATGCCATGGTCGATGTCGAGTCGGAGTAGCCGGTGTCGAGGAAGTCACGTGGAGCCGCGGTCGCAAGGAGGCACCGAGTTAGCATGGGCGCAGTGGTGTCGAAGTAGGGGTGCACCGGGAAGAGGACGGTGTTGACGAGGCGTCGCGCCAGGGTTGCCAAACCCGGGGACATGTCGTAGACGAAGGCACGCGTCGGTGTTGTCAGCACCAGGCATGCGTAGACGGTTGAAGACGAAGTTGACGAAGCGCCACACCAGGCTTGCCAGGCCGGGAACACATCCTGGACGAAGGCACGCATCAGTGTTGCCAGTACCGGGCGTGCATAGATGAGAGACCTGCACGAGCTGTACGCCATGTCGAAGAAGTCAGAGGGGCCAGCAGAGAAGAACTCCACGACGATTGCGGCGCCCATCGGCGCGGGGCCGATGTCACCAACGGTGGTCGGAGTAGACGAACTGGTCAGGGTAGATGACAGCGACGGGCTGGTGCGGGACGAAGATGAACGGGGTGGACGGGCGGCGGCGCCAGCTACGAAGGTAGCGGCGGCGGCGACCAAAGAAGAGCGGTGGCGGCGGCCTGACGGCAGCGGCGGCGGCTAGGTTGGGAGTGCGGCGACGGTGCTCGAAGTACGCGAAGAACCCAACAGCGTGACGAAGACCGGCGCGGACGGTGGCGTTCCAGCACCAAAGGAAGACGGTGCGGCGCATACCACGGGAAGTCGACGCGCTGGGACGACGAAGTCGACCGCGGCGCTAGGGCCCGAAGGGGCGACGCAGCGGCGGCAGGCGGGTCGGAGCAACGGCGCGAAGACCTTAGGGCGGCGGCGGTGAACGCGGGCCATGAACCTACGGCCCGAAGGGGCGATGCAACGGCGGTTCACGAGTCGGTGTAGCCGCGGGGACGGCCTTGGGGCGGCGCCTGGGACCGCGTATTGCGGCATTACGGCTTGTAGGGGCGACGTAGCGGCGACGCACGAGTCGATGCAGCCACGAGGAGAACCACGGGGCGGCGGCGCTGCGGCCTGACGGGGCGACGCAGCGGTAGCCTGTTGCTCGATCGGTGGAAGGGCGCGGTGAACTCGAGGACAATCTTTGTCGGACCTGCGGAGGCGCGTGCAACCGACGGGCCAGGTTGGTCGCGTGACGTAGATGGGGCTGATCGCAGCGGCGAACGGGTGATCAAGCCGATCGCGTGCGAGGTCAGGGACGCCGCTCGGGGGAGGCGTGGTTGCGGCGAAGTCCGGGATGAGGCTGATGACAAAGGACGGTGTGGGACGTCGTGCGGACGAATGTGTCAGCACCGACACCCGGGTTGCCAAAGCAGTGCCGACGCTCGGGCCGAGGCTGATGACAACGGACGGCGTGGGACGTCGTGCGGACGAATGTGTCAGCACCGGCACCCGGGTTGCCAAAGCAGTGCCGACGCCCGGGCAGCGAGGCCCGAGCGTCGAACGAAGCAGCGGCTCCCGAGTTGAGGCATCCGACGAGCTTGACGCAGCTGTCCCGACGCAGTGGAGGACAAGCTCGACGAGGTAGACCGCCGGGCCGCCGTGCAAACACGGTGGAGGTGGGTGACGTGGATCGATGGGCGGGCCGGTGTTGGGAAACGTAGTAATTTCAAAAAAATTCCTATGCACACGCAAGATCATGGTGATGCATAGCAACGAGAGGAGGAGAGTGTGATCTACGTACCCTTGTAGATCGACAACGGAAGCGTTGACTTTGGTTGATGTAGTCGTACGTCTCCACGGCCCGACCGATCAAGCACCGAAACTACGACATCTCCGAGTTTTAGCACACGTTCAGCTCGATGACGATCCCCGGACTCCGATCCAGCAAAGTGTCGGGGAAGAGTTCCGTTAGCACGACGGCGTGATGACGATCTTGATGTACTATCGTCGCAGGGCTTCGCCTAAGCACCGCTACAATGTTATCGAGGATTATGGTGGAAGGGGGCACCGCACACGGCTAAGAATATGATCACGTGGATCAACTTGTGTGTCTAGG